AGTATCACGTCACGTAATTTATGGACAGGCCCTTACCTAATCTCCGACTTGTCAAGTATCCAGTACGTAATGTTATGGACCGAGAAAAGTAAACGATATAGGCTCGTCTGCCTCTCACCGATGTATGAAGCTCACTGTAAAAAAGTAATGATTGAGATTAATTTAAGCTCTCAAATTTTACATGGCCTTTCTCATCGTGTTTTTGATAATTCTATAAATAAAGGCGGAGGGGTAACCGCTCAGACCCCCTTTTTTGGAAATCCCTACACCAAACCCCCCTCATATGAGCGCTAACAGCAGCCTTCCCAGACGCTGAGAGTGCACGCTACGGTTCGATGTCGAACAAAGGCTCAGTTGTTTGTGTTATGTACAGATTAATTTCAGTGTCTAATTTGGAATATTTTGACTCTGGTTTTTTCGCGAGCGGGAAGTTTGAATCTACGTTTACTTATGTAAACTGCGAATGTTCCCTCCTTACTTATGAGTTAATTTTGAAAAATGGTAGTAGTCACTTTTGGTGTTAATATGAACCGAAGTTTTTCTCACAGTGTGATGGTCCCTCTCCGCTGAATTGGTCGGGCGAAACTTAGCAACGATGCGTCGTCGATTAGGCCACTCAAAAAGGCTTGGCCCACTTGTAACTTGACCGCCAGCGCCCACACCCACCATCCCCTGAAATAGGGAAAATTCAGGGTAAAGACCACTTAAATTCGCCCGAGCGTCACTCGACTTCCCGGAGTGGCCGCATCCTCAAACGGGATCTTAATCACCTCGCCCTCCTATTTTGCTTATTCAGCAAGAAGAAAAAAAAATGAAAACTCGTTCCATTGCCAAAATCCCAAGGTCTCTAGATCCCCTTGCAACCTCAAGTCGGTGTCCTGCATGGTTTTTCTGAAATTTTTCATTTTTTCGGCTTATTAAAGTTGATTTTTCAGCCCCTCCGAATTATTCGATTCGTCTCAGGAGCCGATCACGTAGTTGTACATCAATTTGTTTAGCTTTTCGCTACCACGCCGGCTTTTCTTTGTCGCACAGGAGATCGAGTAAATGGGAGAGGTCGGACATAGTTGAAAAACTTTAAAAGTGTATATCTTCATCAATATGAAATGTTAATGTTTTGAAAATAGTTTCATCGGTTTTCTCGTAGAATTTCCTAGAAAAAACACCTCTCAGAATAATTAAAATCGTGACGTCATAAACGTAAAATTTTACAATTTTTGACAAAAATTGTATGTCCAACTTCTTCCAAAGACTCGTTACACTGTGTGCCCTTTGGACCCTTCCCTTCCCTTTTTTGTACTTTGAGAGAGGTCTTTTGCTAAATTGTGTGGTAGGGTCATCCTCATCTCGGAGACTTCTCTCCATACGGTTTTATCCAATACCGCATTTTCAGCGTAACAATCGCCGTTACATGACTTTTTGTTCGCGCTCCCCAACAGCTTAGTTGCCTATTTCCGATACGACAAAGCGCGCCAACCCACCAAAACCGAAGAAAATCACATTTTTTACTCGTAATTTGGCAACAAAGTCAAACTTAGCACGCCGCCCCAGTCCCCTCGCTACGTCGGTAAAAAAACTCGCGCAATGCCTGTAATTGGAGGTATTTAAATCAAAAGGAAGTATCTTTATTGTGACAGGGACCCTGTTATACATGGATTATTAATGGTTTCAGGGACCATGTCTTGGTCGAAGTAGTTCCCTTTGATTGAAATACGTCCAATTTCTCCTCAAATTTCACCATCCTCAGGGAAATCGCTGTATAAGTAGGTGATCTTTTCTCTCATAATATTTAATCTTAAAACAAGTTTACATATTTTTTCTTGAAAATCTCAAGTAGGTACATACGAATGATTTGCGGATGGACTACTGTGCAAAATTCTACAAAAAAGAAACCTAAAATCTAGGAAATTCGTATCTAATCAAAAGAAATCGCGTAATGACCGCGGCCCGCACGTCATTTTCCTTTAGCTCTAGCTCATACACTAAACCAAAGCTACGGTTAAAATAACCATATCAGTGGTTTCCCTCGTCAGCCCTTCAGAAATCATATTAATAACCAAGGAAAAGTGGTGTTTTTTCATTTACCATTTACAATCATGGGATAATTTTTTCAACCCATCGGTAAAATAACGAGCGTATAAAAGGTAAAAAATTACAATTCAATACATATTTGATTATCATTTAATATTCCTAGCCAATACTAGTGGTGTTTTCACTAGTTTACCATTACAGGATATAATCTTACTAAATCATCAGTAAAATAACCAGCGCAAAGGGTAAAGTCAGCATTTAATGGTAAATGGTAAAAATATCACAATTATGGTCGCGAATGTCATGAATGAAACGTTTCTATAGAACACCATTAATATGGTAATTTAAACCAATTTGTTTTTCTCAGTGTAGAAAATAAGGGCTATCCGTCCAACGACAGCACCTCGAGGTTTGAAGCTCTCTGAACAGTTATTGAACATAATTCGCCATTGAACATCACGCTGAATATACTATTCTCTCACTCTCTGCGCTTACCGATTTAATCCACTGGCCTTTCGAAAAGGTGCCCAGGGCCGGATTAAGGGAGTGGCCACATGGGCCGTGGCCTATAGCGGCAAATTTAGGGGGCGGCAAATTTTGAAATTTTTTTCAGATGTAGGTATAAAAAAAATCGGATTCAGAAAAAAAATTACGAACTAGAAAAGGCCATGAAGTCTTTCATTTCCTGAGAGTAAAGGCATGGCAATTTCTAATTTTGTCGTCCTTCGGTGATGCAAGAAACAGCACCTTTAATTAGTCGAGTTAAGAGAGAAACCAAACACGCAATTTGGCCTGGAGCGGCGCGCCGCAGAGAGAAATGATAACGAAGACTTCAAATGAAAAGGAGAAGCCCTCAACGCGGCCGGCGGTCGGCACGTAACACATATCAGCGCCTACAAAACCGCATGGATACTTCATGCATTGCGTCAAATTTAATACAGTGCGCGCGGTCCGCAGCGGTCGGCGTGAGACACATAGCGCCTACAAGACTATAGGAATACTTCACGCATTGCGCAAAATATAGTGAGGATAGCTCTGCGCGGCGGCGGAGGTTAAGATTATTAAACCACATTTATGTTTGTTCTTTCATAATTTTTTCATTCATTTCTTATAAATGGAAAGCGTTGTCCACACAGCGTTAGGTTTACGAGACTTAACTTTCGCGCAAATTTCCGTGAACTTTTGCTAGTAGTGTTGACAAGGCTTCCGCAAAAAATGTGGCCATCACGATATAACGCGTCTTATGCACCCTTCCCCTCCCCCTCCGGCATGTTCACTTAATGGTTTTTATTGATGTTTCAAAACGAATGAGAAGGGGGCGGCAAAATACAAGCGGCCCATGGGCGGCAAGTAGGTAAATCCGGCCCTGAAGGTGCCGTTTTCGCAAAACGCTGGCCCGACGGTTATTGCGTCTGGTTTTGGCACTTTTTTGGCACCTCTGATTAAGAGGGAGGATAGGGGCTGGGGGTTTGTGTGAGTCAATGCGTGATGGAGGTCTTACAAGGTCTTCAGCTCGAGGCGTTCGTACCAGCTTTAATGGTCCCTTCGACCTCCCTCAACTCAAGGATGGCTCGTGGAGGCTGTCCATATATTATGTCAAGTTTTCCACGGTATTTTTATTCCTCCCTCTCCGTCCTTGATAGGCTTCTTTATGACACCTTCTCCCTCTAGCGCATAATTTTGAACAGTAGTAATTACATAGAGCTGCACTGAGAAAAATGGACGCACTCAACTCAAGAGGACCTATATAGTGAGGCATGGGCCCGAATACGCATCAGAATACATGCACGATAGAGCCCATGTCAAAATGGAGTTACTTCCTTTAGGTTTAAACATGCAACCAAATAGGGTCCCGTAGCACAAGAATACAGATTTCCTTTTCATTTCCTGTTTGCGGCGAGGAATGTAAATCATTCTACTCTATGTGCAATTTAAGGTATGACAGAAAAAATATCCCTGTCTCTGCGGTGAATTTTTCTGATCTTGAAAGTTGAACTAATTTCATCGCGACGAGGCAACTCATGTCGTCACAAGCGCAGCTAACATTTTACGTGGCGTAATGAATCACTTTCTAGACACATGATATATTTTCCTCGGGGCAACCAAGTTTCTGCAACAAAAGTTTTTTTTTTGTCATAATGAACCCAATTTTTCTCAATGTGAGCGTTCACTTTTCCCAGTTTATTTTTCATTATTTTTCTTTTCATTCAGTTACTTACTTGCTCATCCTCTTGGGATAATTTATTTTTTTGGGGTGGGGGGGGGCAAAATGGGGAGAAATATAGGAAAAGTTTTTTGTTTTCGTCCTTTTCCTCCTCTTTTTTACCCCTCAAATTTACATAGGTATTCTCCTGATTATTGTGTGCGTTTTTAGCCTTACGTCAGGTTAAACGTAACACGCAACCCTCTGCATCACGAGACCATCTTTCCAGGACGTAGAGGGGGTTTCAAAAAACCGAAATGTCTATGAAGTTCACTCCGTCGCATTTTTCCTATTAGATTGACATCGAACTGACTTACCTCATGTTGAATGTAAATTTCAAAATTTTCCATTATTGTTTTTCAAAATGCCTTAAAAATAGCTAAATCTCAATACTGCCAAATGTCCTTGCACAGTTTACACAAAAAAGAAAAAATATGAAAAAAAATTCCCAGTTCAATAATTTTTCCAAAAAAAATTATTCTCGCATCACAAAATGCTCCACTAAGATTATCAACCAAAATTTGTCCTTTCCTCTTGCCCTTCTTTGATGGCGTCGTTACTTTAATCAAGGCTTCCTAAACGAATTTTTTTTTGACGCAGGATGCCTCGAAGCTATGATGATTTTCTTTTCTCCCGCCGATTTTTTAAATTTTTCCTTCCCTTCTTTCTGTGTTTTTTATTTCATAAGCTATTCTGTTTGTTGACCAGATATTTCTAAATAATGGATTAATAAATAAATCTAACCATACCATTTTGTTTGTTACAGTTTGAAGGAATTAGAAGAACAAGCAGACAACTCAACGGAAATTTGCTCAAAAGTCAAAATGATTGAAGACAAACTACATAAGATCAAAAATAAGTTAGAAACTTCAAAGCACAATACTTGGATTAGTAAGTTCTTTTATTTTATTTTATTTTATTTTATTTTATTTATTAAATCGTTTGTTGAACAAATTGGCCAGACAGCCCAAAGAAGATGAAGAATATAAATGTAGGCATGAAAAACTAAAAATCACCCTGGTAAAAATTGGCAGTAGAATCTGTGTTCCAAAATACCATAGACCTAAAGCCGGCTGTAAGATTTCCAATAGCTTCTGTAGCCGGCTGTACAATTTCTTATAGCCTTTTACATCCGATGGCGATTAAGCAACAGCCAGACGATAAAGTTTATACTAAACGTTACTAAATACGGATACCAGGACTTAATTAGTTTGTGGACTACCGCTCTCTTTTTGTGCCGTAGTATCTTAATTTATTTTGTGAGGAAAGCTCCGTACTTTTGAAGGATGCAGGAGCGTGTTCTATGGGTTAAAATAAGACTTTTTTTATGTATGAAGTTTTTTTCTAAAAGTGCCCCCAGTCGGAGCTGCCACGCTCCCCTTCCCCCAAAAAATAAAAAAATTCGGAAAGTGAATCATTTTCCCTGCATTTTAGCAACGGTTGTGGACCAAATCTAATGAACATTTCTACTCTCCCGTACTTGTATGCCCTGAATTCATAAATGAGGGGCTTTGAGGACAAGGCAAATAAGTACAGTTTTTGAAAAAATTGAGATATTTATAATTTATTGACTTTAACAAATTATTTCAAGTGAAAGTAGTCTTATTGCTTATGCTGTGAAAAATTCGCTCCCGAATTCCAATTTTCAAGCATCAAAAAGTCTCTTTGAACTTTCTTTCCGCCATAAGGCTCCTTGTAATTTTGAAACTTTCAATACGCATTTCTCAGAATAGCAAAAACTGCACTTATGCGCCTTGTCCTCCAAGCCTCTCAAATGATCTAAAAGAATTCGAAATCTCAATTTGAAGAGGGGGTTTGGGGGTGTTTCGACTTCTGCAGTCTGGCCGTTAAACCCCGGATCACCCTGTATATCGCAAAGCACGCCACGGCACCGCTCGCGGTAAACGTTGAACAGTTCAATGATTTCCTCATCACAGTTTGGCGGACTCGCTCTCACAACTAAGCCAGTCAGATTAGTTGCCTATGAATTTCCATCGGCTTCGCCCCGATCTCGGTAGATGCGCTCCCCCCGAGCCCTTAATCCCTCGTTTGTCAGAAACTTGTTAAGGACAGAAAATTATCAGCCGAGCAGAGATGTAGGAATAACATCCCTTTTTTTTGCCTCCGCGCACCTTCCCTCCCCCACCCCCTTTCTCGCTCTTACCCACTCGGAAAATCCGCCAGGTTATTATATCGAGTCCGTGTGCGTAATTTCATACGTCAGTAGCAGTAAGGCATTGAAACGGACAGCTACGTTCTGATGGTTTACGTACAATTTTTTGATCGACACTTAAGTCAATAAGAACCCTTTATCAAGTGAAAAAAAAAATTTGCCCATTGGCATAAAGGTCAATTAATGTATTTTAGCGTTTTTTCGTTCTTTTTTTCCCTTAAATTTTATTGGTAATTTCTAATTTAAAGAAAAAGAGGAAAGTAAATCCAAAAACTACGTTTTGATGGTTTACGTACCTTTGATCAAATATAAGTCAATAATAATCCTTTATCAAATGATAAAACAATTTTTCCCATTGAAATGAAGGTCAAATAATGTATTTCACCATTTTTCGTTTTTTTTAATTTTATAAGTAAATTTTCTAATTTAAAGAAAAAGAGGAAAGTAAATGCGATAAAAGAAAACTTTTTCGTATCAATTTTTCCCTTATTATAAAAGACAAAATGAATTGTTTCCTATTATAATTCTCTTAGTGATTTTAATTGTTTTCCTTTAAGTCAACTTTTTTCCAATCCAAGTTCTAATATTTAAATTGTATTTAATTATTTTTTCAGTTAAACCTTGTCATCGATGACAGTTTTATTTATTTTCTTTGAATATCAGAGGAATAACTTCCAGGACTTTATGTCCACCTACTTTTCGTCCATTAAATAAATGTCCATCGCTATTTATGTCCACTAAGCGTTAAGTCCAGTCTTTATTAAGTCCACATGATTTAATGTCCAACCATGAATATGTCCAAAATTTCCAAATTGTGGACATGTTATGTCCACATTTTTTTATTCTCATTTAAATGACAGGAACCACCTCAAAAATAAATGCATACTGCTACTACCTTCATTCTTAAAAACATTTCATTCATGATTCAAGTCATGAAAGAGAACAGACTCTAAGAGCAGATAAAAACATATGTTCATGTGTACACTGTACGGATATAATAAGACAAAAACCAAAGCGGGAGCCTAGGAAACGCTCCAATGCCAAATTAAACATTTTTAAGTAACAGATGCAGTCAAAATTGAAAGTCCTCTTTAACTAGTTATTTTGTGCGCATTCAATCTTGTAGGATACTGTGCAACGCCTCTAACGCGAAATAGTTGCTTAAAGCGTTGCGGCGCGGCAGGCAACCAGCGTGACACGCGCATAGGCGCCTACAAACCTAACGGGATACTTCACGCGTTGCGCAATGCGTGAAGTATCCCGTTAGGTTTGTAGGCGCCAGTGCGCGTTCTGCGCTGCTAACACGTCGCTCCGCTCTGTGTTAGGCTCTAATATTTAAACTCGCGGAGTCAGCGTTTTTCAACTCATGATTTTGACATTTTTGCACCCTCCGCATTGATTATTCCCTTTTAAACTGATGAAAAAGAAATATGTACTACTGGAAAATATAATGTGTTTTTTGTAAATATAATGGTGGCTCCGTGTCAAATTTAATGATTTCCAAAGCATTCAATTTTATTCTTTTATGTTTTGGGCTTTTACTGTGCTGCAGCGTGGTGTGAGCGCAACCAAACGCTCAAAATTGGACGTATTTGACTCAAGGAGGTCGATGTTCAAATAAGTTAAAAACAAAAAATTGCGTGCTTCTTAGTTTTTTTCCTCTTTTATTAATTTTTTTATAGTTTCTTTCATCATAACTACGGCTCATTGAGATTCATATTGATGCCATTGCTTGGAAAAGGTTTTACAAGTATTTACCACGTTTTAAAAATGTAAATGTTTTTAAAATGAAGTAATCAATTTCATTAAAAAGAAGAATGTACATTTAAGGCATATTTTATATCGGAAATTTCAAGGATAGAAATGAAACCAAATATTTACCAAAGACAATTTGAAAAGATGAATCAAAAGAAGAAATTAACATTTCATCTAAAATATGAGTTACGATAACAACACCTTATACTCTCTTAATTTTCTCATTTCGATATTGTCAATATAATTTTACAGACGGACTACAATATGACGCTTGAATTTGATTTTAGTGGACTTTACATTTGTGGACTTAACTTAGTGGACGTTTAAGTAATGGTCTTAACAATAGTGTGGGCTTTAGAACTGTGGACGTAAAAATTGTGGACGAAAAGTCTGTGGACGTAAAAAAAGTGGACATAAAGTTCGTGTACCAAACCCCTAAACGAATTGAAATAATTTATTTTATTAGAGATAATTTTTTTAATTAAAAAAAACCTCTTTTTTATTATCTGGTAAATCATTATTCGCATGTGTATTTTAAATGACCTTATTACGGAGTGTTTGTCTAAGATGGAGAATAGTATTTTAAGAACCGATTCACTTTAATTATTTTGATTGTATTATGTTTGGCTCAAACAGATTTTTACAAAGAGATACCACCCTCAATCATGAAATTACAGTATCGAAGGCTGAGTGACGGGAAACAAAGCAAAGTCAGGAAGGAATTTTACGAAATTTGGTAAGTAGTCTTGCCTTCGTCTATTTAGTCCGCTCCGTCTATTTCTAGAATCATTATACGTTTTTTAATCTATCTGTATTTATTTAAATTATTAATTGCTTTCATTTTATTTGGAACCTCCGAGTCATGTTTCTAATTTTTAAAATGCAGATACATAATTTCTTTCGTGCGTTTTTATAGAAATGAATGATTGTCCAGCGGAATATTATAAAATCATTGAAATTATTTTCCAGGCAATATTCTCCCTCAATGTCAAACATTTCAAACCCGCATCATACGGGGGAAGAACAGTGACATATTTGGGCAGAGGGATTCGCCTCTTCAACTTGTTTTGCCAAAAAGCAACACTTCGTGTTCAGGATTTTACCATGGAAGGATTCAGAATTAAAAGTTAGTGAGAGTTAAGCTAGGAAGGAAAGAGAAATAAAAGTATTATCCGTGAGAGTTTTTCCGGAAATTCTGCTGAGGTTGTGGCCCTGTGGAAAGAAAACAAAGTGAAAATACCATGAGTTCTTAGAAAAGGAATTTCAGAGGAGCTCTCTGATCGTGCATTTTTATTTACCTTCATTAAGTTGCTTAATTATGGAGGCGCCCAGACGCTTGGAACTTTTTGCGCCATTTCAGCAAAAAGCGCTTCTGTTATAGGGAAAATTATAACATCTACTGAAGGAATAAGAAGTTGAAATCCTAACTTTGTGGGGGAAAATACCATTACAACGGCACAGTCACGTCGTATGTATGGATCGCATGAACCAAGGCACATCAGCTATTGCCAAATTTAATTGAGCAATTTAAGATTTTACGAGCAAATGTTTGTGCAAATTCCTTTGAAAAGCTAAAAAAAAAGAAATTGCTCTTTACTGCGCAGAAAATTCACCGAAATTTCCACAAAAATTTGCACAACCGATTTCATGTAAAAAATGGAATTGCCCAATTGAATTTGGCAATAGCTGACGTGGCTTGGTACCTTTCTGTTTAACGCGATCCATACTTATATATGATACGGGAAAATGCCGAAACTTGGGCTCATCCTCGGGCAATCTGCCTGGGTAGATCGCGAAGTGTCCCCGAAATTTTGGACCGATCCCGGAATAACGGTAGACTCCAGAATTTGCCTGAGTAGATCGCGATGTGATTAAATCCTGTTCGCACATCTTGCTACGACCACCATGTTTACGGAATTTCCCGGGTGGATCGCGTTATGAAAATAAACTTGAATAGAAAAAAAGGGACAAAAATGAATCATCTCGTAATTTACGAGACAACGAGACGTAAAATTTAAAATTTTTATTTTCTATGTCGTACGAGTCGTAAAACATAGAAACGTACTCGCACTCTAGAAGAAGGGGTCATAGTCTTGACGATGAGGGGTATAGTCTATACCACCCACGCAAAGTTATCTGCCGACCGCTAAAAGTTGGCAGAGACAAAACCTGAAAAAGTGAAGGGTAGAGAAATCGAGTCCTTTGGGTTCCGATGGAAACAATGTGAACGAGACTTGAAGCACGCCTTGACGTCGAAATCGGGTCGGCGTTGGAAACATTCGCATTACTCCAAGCAGAGACGGAGTTCATCCCTGAAATCCCTGAATCGCTAATCGAACATTCAAGCTCAATCTTGACCATCGCTCACAGGATTTGGGATCAGGATGACCCATCTGTCACTTTACCGTGTTGCCTTGAGTATTCGGACAAGAAACCGAAAGAGATCGTCTCGACAATGAAGTCGTTGGTTTTTAGGTACAGGTACCGTTAGCGAGAACGTTGCATAGGTCTATGCAACGTTCTCGCTAACATCTCCCACAGTACTTAAACGAATTACAACCTGTAAAATTGCGAGGTGCCGTGTTTACGTAAAAAGAGAATGAGAGAAGTTCTCTAATGTGCATAGTTTAACAGTTTGAAAAATTCACCTCTCGAAAATGAACTTTTTTCTCTTAGTTTTTCTCCCCTTACGTAAATTACTTCTTTTGTTCTGTGCCACCAAGGGACCTTTTTTTACATTGAACGATTGAATTTTATATGATATTCTTCGGGCTTCAGTCCTGCACCTGACGACAACGCGGTAAGCGGCCTATCGTTAAACCGCTGTCCAAGTGTTCCCGAGGTGGAGGGGGGTCTTTGGGACCAATCCCTGGCTCTGATTGATAGTCTGCCGCCGAAGTCTTCTGTCAAATCAGAAGATTTTAATGAGCCCGAGCCTAACATCGTAACCCCTTCCATTTTCTTCAGGGCCTCTTAAACCGGCGTCCCTTCGTCAAAATCCTCCACTAAGCGGACTAATTTCCGCCACTCTCCGCCTACTACTGCGCGCCTTCCCGCTGTTTCTAAATTCTGTTCTAGCCGAACTTTTGGCTCTCCGGATGATCTGTCCGCTGCATCTGCTTCTGCTTTTACATCGCGCTTTACGTTTCTCTCGAGTGGACGCTTTCGATTTAGGTCCGCTCCATTATTTCAGTTGCGTTTTCCCACACTGGAAAAAAAACACATTGGATCTAGAGTCCAGACTCTTGAAAACATTGACAAGAAAAAGGACTCTTGATTCAATCAGTTTTAAGCTTAAATCAGAAGGAAGTCCGCTCAAATTAAGAGGCTTGGTTCTTGATTTAAGCTTAAATCTGATTGAACCAAGAGTATTTTTTCTTGTCGATGTTTTTAAGAGTCTGGACTCTAGATCCAATGTGTTTTTTTTTCCAGTGCGCTAAAAATCCTGAAAGAACCACATTTAGAGCACGAGACAGGGGGTGACATAAAGTATTATACTGTGGGACGGCCAAGCAGCATGTCAATGCTGTAAGTCGCGCAATCTCGCATATTTTGAAATCTCGTAGAGAACTCTTCACATTTAGTTCTGCAATTTACCGCAGTTTTCTTCCTCTTCGTTCTGAATATTTTGGTACACGGGAAAAAATTATATTGCTGATTTAACAATTTTTCAGTTTAAAAAAAGTGTCCTACATGTTGCAATGTAGATTTTACAGTAGAAAAATGCTAATTTAACCACCCTTGTAGTTTAATTAGCTTTCCACTACTGTAAAATGTACATTGGTAACATGTCGGACATATTTTTAACAATTTAATTATTGAATCAGCAATCCCTTTTCTTCCGTGTAAAGAAGTGTACAAATTGCCGCTCGAAGCTTGTGAAGAACAGGTCGTTAAGGTTCGCCGTATGAGCCTCCCAACGCTGCAAATTTGCATTGATGAAGTGGAAATTTTCAAAGAGACCTGTCAATATTCCTCTTCCAATATTACAAAGGTTTTAATTAGCAATTCAATCTGCAGCATCTGAATATTGCTAGAAATAATCCTCACAGTTTTCGTCAAAAATAAATATTTAATCGGGGGAAATTCGGAAATATTTAAAGGTTATACGATGCTTCATGGCACTTACAGTGGAGCGAGTCAATGGAAAAAGTCGCACTAGATGTAAAATGATTTGAAATCAATCAAATGATATTAATAATGATGATTTCAAAATGCGCAGTATTAGTCAAAACTTCCATGGCGGGACTATTCCTCTAATGGTTCGCTCCTCTGCGGGGTGATTATTGAAATTAATAGGCAAAACTATAGGCAAAGAAGACATCATAGCGAGTATAGAGCGATCCCATTGGTTGAAACTGGTGGTTCTTACAGATCAAAGGAGGCAAATAATGGACTAACCAAAGGGTCTCTCGTAGGTTGCCGTTAGTTAGTCTATTACATACCTCCTTTGTCCACTCCGATCAACCGCTTCCACCAATAGAATCCCTCCATGACTCTTTTTGTTTTCTTTGTCTAAAGCTTTGTCTATCAATTTCAATGATCGGCCCGCCGTGCGATAGTTTTATCCCCCATCGACAGCTTTACTGTCTATTTTGGAAGCACGGAGCCTCTGGTAACCCGACGAAGGATTTTTCCCGAAACAAACATCGTGCGCGAGGTCTGCTGAATTTTAAAACGACTTATATGAGAGGAATAAGCGGATTTGCTGGGAATCGACGTGTTATACTATTCCATGATCCGCTCGGGGATTAGGGCATGCTCTCCAGTTCGACAGAACGCGGACGGTGGATACTAGGAAGTTGAAGTTGATGAGTTCTGCCCACTCGAAAGGCTCGCCGTGCTCAACCTTTCAACCCAAACTCAACGATAAGCTCCCACCTGTCGCCGCCATTTCAGTTTAAGGGTCGTGTTCATAGTCGTTCCTTAAACAGCTCCTTTCCTTAGGAGGCCCCGTGTGGTCTACACCGTGATTAACCGAGGTCTAAGGGAACTAGCACCATAAAATAGACAATTTCTGTGAACCTCGAGTAAAATTCAGTGTTATAACTGTACTACATTTTGCAAATAGGCACTAAAATTTTCGGCTCAGCATGAAAACAAAGCACGTACCATTATTTCACCTGTGCACATGAGTGTTTTTACGGATGGGCCAGAAATTATAGATCCTAATTGCAAATTGTAATCCAACTCTGAATATTGATCCTAACGAGGAATTTGAATGGTGAGCCCCTCCTAAAATACGGAATGCAATATAATATATTTTGCGAGATGTGCAACATTTAAAAAAGATTCGCACTTACCTTGGAGTTTTTCAAAATCATATTTGTTTTCCCTCCGTATTTTGTTATTATTCGAATGAATAAAATAAGCGCTAAAATTTGGAAACACTGTCAATGAGATACGTCGTTCCGCAATTTGGCCATCGATACGAGAGTGCAAAGAAAATTCCCTTAATCTATCCGCATTCTTTTATATGCATTAGCACCAAGAATTAGCAATAATTGTTTTCTAGCAATAATGTAAAGTGGTCAAAAATTCATACTTAAAGGCAGGAACTTTTTTTATGTAGAATGCTTTCCTGAGGGTATAAAAGATCAGATCTAACGTTTTTCAAATTCATTGATTAGAGGATATGCTCTCATTTTCCACAGCAACAACACGCTGAGTGAGGAGGTGCGGCAAGCTTTACGTCTTCCATCGTTTGACTGCAGCACTTTCGAGGACGCTGAGATCCTCCACATTCTCCAGTACATGTACATCGACTTCGACCTACCCAAAAAGTACAACATCGATTTGAACACTCTTAGAGAATTCCTATTCACGGTCTACAAAAACTACAATGACGTTCCCTTCCACAATTTTAGGCATTCTTTTTGTGTTACGCAAATGGTACGTATGCTTGCAACCATTCATTTAGGATTTAGGATGTCGTGTTAAATTTCAGGGCAGTAAAAAAGAAAAAAATAGATTTACGAAGGTGTCCAATTTTTTTCAACGAAGATCACCACAAACAGATCAAATCTATTAAATTCGCAAAAACAACAGTTTTTTATACTTTGTGCTCCGCATACTTACCTACAGCTTCATTTTTGCTACATCACCCTGCATCAGCATGCAGCTGTTATACACATTCATGTACCTGTTTAGGTCCATCACAGAATGTTGACTATTTTCTACAGAATTTGGGCCTCTCATTTCTTTAGCCACTTCACGAAATCATTCTGTGCTCATCAAATTCTGAAGTATAAGATCGCGGTGGACTTTACAGTGACCAGAACACCACGAGGGAATTTTCTGTGAGGAATATTTGTCATGAGGGAAATTTACTGTGGTGATGTTATCCCATACAATATACCAGGACCAAAAATACCTTGGAAAATGCCACAGGAAATTTTTAGTTGAGATGCCGTTGAACACTTCATCAGGAGCCATAGGCAACATCGATTCAAACCGATCACATTCATCAGTCAGTATTCTTAGAGTGACGGTTCGACAAGAGAGTTAAATCATCACTTTTGAAGTTTAAGTTGGCCATTTAACAAAAAAGAATTACGGAAAAATACCAAGTTAGCATGAAAGAAAAAATTAGAGGGCTTTGAAAATCATTAAATTTGACACGGAATCACCTTAATATTTACAGAATACACAATATATTTTCCTTTCATACATATCTTTTTTCATCAATTTAAATGAGAATAGTCCATGCAGAGTGTGCAAGCATTTCAAAAGCATGAGTTGAAAGACGCTAACTCTGCGAGTTGAAATATTAGAGCCAAACAGAGCGGAGCGGCGCGCGGCGTGCAGCCAGCGCGAGAGGCTCACTGGCGCCTACAAACCTAAAGGGATACTTCACGCATTGCGCAATGTTTGAAGTATCTACTTAGGTTTGTAGGCGCCAATTCAAGTTTGGCGCTGGCCGCCCGCTCGCCGTGCCGTGGCATGGCACCTCAAGCAACTATTTCACAACAGAGGTGTTGCACAGTATCATTCGAAATTGAAGGCGCCCCAACATATTAAAAATGACGGGCATCCTTTAAGAATACGCAACGTTCTCCGCAAAATAAATCAAGATGCTACGGCACAAAAAGAGAGCGGTAGTCCTAAAACTCATCAAGTCCTAGCATCCGTATTTAATAAAGTTTAACATAACTTTCAAATTGCATTAGAGATAAAAGTGACTCGATTTAGGCAGAAAAATTCCTGAGTATGCCGTCAAGAATATTTTATTTTGAGTCTCAATATTAATTGGACCACATTTTGCAATAAGGAACCACTTTTTCTGGCTCATTTTAGAAACAAAATATGTGACATTGGTTTCCCTAAGCAGAAAGGTGCTTTTATGGAGGAGCCAGAGATAGTGGTTCCTTATTGCAAAATGTAATCCAATTGGTACGTGGACCAAAACTCCCCTGCCGAAAAAACGCGTGGACGTAAACTACTGGAAAAAACAGCTGCGCTGACAAAAAATCCTTGACAAAATGTCTTATAACCGAAAGCAAAGTGTCCTCAGGTTTTTTTCGGATTTTTCTTTTTTTCCGATCTTTAAAAGCTTTGCAAATATCAGTAAAAGTCAAAGGAATATAGGCCCTTCTGAAATAATTCTGATGCAATGTCATTTTTTTTAAGTTCGTTTAATTTCTACTTTCTGATTGTTTCCATGTTTCAGATGTATGCGATGTGCATGAAAGTCAATTTAAAAGATAAAATCGGCGACCTTGAAATTCTAGTCCTTCTTACGTCCTGTATCTGTCATGACCTTGATCATCCAGGATATAACAATATGTATCAGGTAAGGTCGCCTATTTACTGTGGGGCTGGAATTGTTTGGTCCTGACCGAACAAACTTAAAATAATTTATCAGATCCCACGATTCTTACACACAATTTCTTATCTATCGGAGTGGCCTGTCTCACTCAAAAATAAATAAGGAAGAAGTCTATGTAATAAATTAAGATAACAACTTTATTCTGTCATATTAGGAAAAAGTTACGTTGGCACGTACACACGTACGTACGAAAAAAAGGACTTATTCTGGTTTAATTGGCAGTTTTTAGACAGAATTGAGCGGTGTTTTTTTTTTCTTTCATTTCCAGCTGAAGAGACTGTCGATGTACTTGCACACTTTTCTTACTGTTTCTGAAGTATGTGCGATTCTCCCTCAGGAGAACGCGCGTAGTTTACTCGTAAATGCCTCGTTTTTCTGGAATTAACTCGAGACATGTTTCAAGTTTTTCGTTTCGTGACACCCAGATTTTCTTCGACTAAAATATTTTGATGACAGATAAAATACGTCTCCTACACTTCATTTTTACAGCTAACTCAAAACCGCCAAAAATTGAGGCACGCGGTTTGAGAGTTACACCGTCGAAGTGCAAGTAGGTGTGTCACGCGATTTACTATTAAAAAAATTAAGCACCCAACATTTGCAAATTAAATGTGCTCAAGCTCACCGATGATCTGAAAGTTGCCTGTATGTTATTTCGTTATCTCTACTTGCTCGGTCTTCAAAGTCGATACGCTTAGCAATATCGTTGATTTTTCTTTTTTGTCTTCTCTCTCTCTTTGTGATAGGTATTCTCTTTTCAATTGGTTACTGGAGTACGTTTTTAATTTCGAAAATTTCATCTTTTAAGGAAGCATTCTACGGCTCTGACAATTCATATTTTACAAAGAGAAAGTAATGCAATGTGCACCTAAGCTGTTTCTTCAGTTTTCTTTGAAATGTGTTTCGGATTTTGATACAAACCTTTAAGCAGCTTCATATGGCACTTTTATGTGTAAAATGAAATTTTACTTTCTTGTAAAAAATACTTTCTTTGAACTTACTTTCTTACTTTCTTTAACTTTTCCCCTACTGAGAATTGGTCACACAAATTTTTCCCATAGCTATTTGATGACCCAATCAAACCGTCCTGCTTGCACTTCTTGTCCAAATTCCCCCTTAACGGTAGATCACGTTCTTATAAGTTGCCCACTTTATAAAGATATCCGAAAACGTTTTTTTCCCTACCCCTTAAAAATTTACTTCTGAATACTCATCCTGTGAAACTTTTTGAATTTATGCGCTCCACTAATCTCAAAATTTAACCTTTCCTCTCAACCCTTTGTATTTTTAGTGATATTTCCATGTAAATTTATTATTGTTACTGCCCTCTTTAGAGGTGTAAATGGCCTTAGATGCTAAAGCACCGCTTTAAAATAAAATGATTTTACTACTTCTATACTTTTCTTTGAAAATGAACTTTTTGCACTTTTTGTTTCAGATAAATGCTAAAACCGAGCTTGCTATCCGCTATAATGATATATCACCTCTAGAAAATCATCACTGCTCAATGGCATTTCGTATTTTAGACCTACCTAGTTGCAATATTTTTAGCTCCATGACAAAAGAAGTATACCGGACAGTGCGAGAGGGCATTATCCGGTGTATTCTGGCCACGGACATGTCACGGCACAATGAAATCCTGCAGAAGTTTGTCGAGGCTCAGGAAGAACAACAATTCGATTTTGAAAACAAAAACCACGTTAATTTGGTAAGGAAAATGTCTACAATTATACATTTTTAAAAGAGCTCTTAAAACCAAAGGAGGGGGAGGGGGTCGAACCTTATCCCCGTAGTTTATGCGTCTTCTTTACCACCTCTTTGTTTTTTCAAATTTTTCACCTCTTATCAAATTCTGCGTTGGGAGATTGATACGAGGCACTTATTTTGATCTCCAAGTAGCATAAAGTGCATGCATAACTACTAATTTAAATAGATTAGATAGATATCGCGGAAAACACGATTTTTCAAGAGGGCAAAAAACTATTCTTTTTATCCCTCATTACTATGTAAGAAGACTTATCAAGGATAGGTAGAATCAAGTGCTTTTTCAGATTTCATCAGCATTTTGAATAATTTCTCAAACTGCCAGGAATTTTTTTTTTCTCTCTCTTTTATTAAAATTTCGACTTCAAGTACATGTATTAAGAAATGATTAAAATTTCGACTACCAGTACATGTATAAAATTATTAAAATTTCGACCACAAGTACATGTATAAAAACATTATTAACATTTCGAGTACATGTACATGTACTAAGACATTATAAAAATTTCGACTACAAGTACACGTATGAAGAAATTACTAAAATTTCGACTACAAGTACATGTAATAAAAAATTGTCTGGAAATACGACAGAAATAATAGATTCGCGTTTCCAGAATTTAAAGTATTCCACTGTATTCCTAGGTACGCGAATTTTGTGCGTAAGCTCCCACCCGATTTTTCGTCTAATTCAATCGAATCAAGAGTAGACCAACATTCTAGTAGAATGAAGTGATTAAAATTACTCAGTATGTCAGTAAGAGTAAGTTATTCTCTAAAATTCCCTAGTTGCAATTTTGGACTCTAATTTCGCTGAATTGATTAAGTATAATATTCACGCAGCGCCACAACGCAACGCGACGGCGCGGCGGACCACGACTGCTGGTCGCTGGTTGGCGCGAACACAATTAGCGCCTACAAGACTGCAGGAATACTTCTTGCATTGCGCCAATCACAGTGCGGTCACCTGTCGGCGCGGAAAGGCATATAAGCGCCTGCAAGACCGCAGGAATACCTCATGCATTGCACCAAAAACAGTGCGGTCGCTGTTTGGCGTGAAACGCATAAGGGCAATTCTATGAAAACTGTCCAATTCGACCTCCAAAAAAACTAAAATTTCAACTTCATTAATTTGGATCGAGGGTTTGTTTTCCTAGTCAAGTATAATATCAGGCTTGAAAATTTAATGCAGGTACCTTTCTTTATCTGGCATTTTTCCTCCCTTCTTTTTACACACAAAATATTCCATGCGGAGTGACAGACGTAACTGAGACGGCCTTGACAAATTTAAACAAATACTTGCGAGTATACTCAACAGCAGTGAAGCACAATCTCTAAAGTCGGTGCGCGTGCAGTTGGTAGTAAGGACGATTAAGTGGACACAAAGATTTTTCAGAATATCACACGTTACAAAAATAAACAGCGCAACGGTCGTGACACACAAAACGGTTCAATGGAGTAAATTTGCGTTTTAAATTATTTCAGGATATTCTAAATTCCACCAATTACTGCTGTACGAGCATATTTTGATGTGAACACTTCACTGAACGGAATGGAACGTTTTGCAGCGATATTGACTGCCCCTCGCGACCGTTTTGACGGACAAAAACACCTGCGACTGTGTGACGTCGAAACTTCATGATATCACTTTTTCGAAATATTTCGGGTGGAAAACGCATTTTTTTAAAAAAAAATTAAATGCGTTGTTCATTCAACTACATGTATTTTTCATGAAAGGTAGTTAAACATTCGAACAATTTATCCGGCCAAAAAAAGTTATGAGGCTGTGAACATTGCATTCTGACAATCATGACAGTGACGGTGAGATATGAGATTTTTTATCCATTATTTTACGACTAAAACGTTCATTACTAATATTGGACACTTTTCGTAGAATTTCCTTTATTGGCGCCTACAAGACTGTACCAATACTTCACGCATTGCGCGTTCATTACAGTGTGCGTTGTGCGCTTTAACTTTTTATTAAATGATTAGAATTGCATCCATGTTGCCGAGATCAAAAGTGATTTCCCCCATTGAATTTACATTGTCGGTACGGAAAAATATCGACAATATTTCTCTCGCTGGGGACGTGTCCTCCCCCCCTCTTCCAATCTCCTCCGTCTGAGGTCGAACAAATGTGGCATCCCCAAGCATGGAGGTCTAGAATCGTCATTGTGTTGATAGATAATTTTCCTGTTTGTGTGTTTGTAGTCTTTTTACCCTTGATAGCCTTGTTTTCTACACTTAGTCGTAGAACACCTGGTATAATTGATTTTTTTTCAATTGTTTGCATCAACAGCTAGAAATGGTGCTAATTAAAGTAGCAGATATATCAAACGAAGCACGTCCAATGGAAGTTGCAGACCCCTGGCTTGATAAATTATTACAGGTGTGTACCTTTATATTTCCCAGCAACTCTTACTAAAATTCTTAAAAATATACTATAGTACTTACCTCTACACCTGAATGGATAAATCTCTCCGTTTTAACTAATCATTGATTTACGGTATTTAGATTGAAAAGAAAAATTGAAGATTAAAATGAGGGTAAAAAGCGTGAGTAGGTACTCGCATCGTCGAAAATGGTCCCTGATCCTCAATCCTGATCGTTCGAAATTACGAGTTTTTACTTGAATTGGCAATGCCGCTTTTGGCAGTCTGGGCTCTCTTGAATTAAAGACTTCTTTCAGGTTTTATTGATTTAAACATTTTGGGGCTCTGATCTTCAGATTTTCAAAGTTTCATTAGATTACATTGGAAGCGAGGTTTTCGAAAGTTTCACCTCAGCAATCTCTCTAATGTTTCGATCCACGTGAAAAATCAGAAAATAGAATTTTCAGCTCCACGGATTCCTGTACAGCGATCCCAGAATGTACTCCGTAGATAGTACATTTTTGGACGGGTCGATCGCTTCTCCACGTAAGACAAAAGTGAGAATACCCCTTTGTAATCTAGGTTACCTTAATTAAAACAAAAAAAGAAGAAGAAAAATTAGGACCATTCAACTCAAAATGGATAATGGATGCTAATTTTGAAGTTCCACGAGTTCAGTGCTCTTTGGTGAATAGGTATGAACCCAATGAGCTTGTTCGGTATAATTTTTGATTGCCACACTTTTAAAAAGTAGAGAGTGTACTCAGGTAGTTCCTAGGAGTTTTCCTGGATTAGTTTGAACGATATTTACTCACAAAGAACTACTTCAAAGTTGAGTATTCTTAGCTCCACTTTAAATACGCATTGACAAGGAAACAATGATAACATCCGAAAATATGCCTCTTGCTACGGCGACAAATTCTCGATCACTTGTCACCTCTGCTGTGATTAATAGTCTGTGCACTGTACTCATAAAGTCGGGCATTAATGAAGAAAAGATGCTCAGACTACGAATTGTGGCAGAGACAACGTGCAATTAGAATGTTGGCTGCAAATTCGGATATAATATGTATATTCGAACGCCATCCTGGCTTTCTCGGTAATGCGCCTTAAAATGAGAGCTCAAAACACGCAACTTGGAACTCGTGTTTTGCAGTATGACATCGATCAAAAAAATCCAAGAAAATTCCAGTGAGCTAAATGCACCCCCAGAGCTCATTTTATGGAAGGCCCTCTGTTGTGGCTTGTGATTGGGCTCAATTTATCTAATCTGTATTTTTATTCAGAATTCCTCCGAAACACTAATTTCGTATTTTTTTCTTTTATTATTTGCGCAGGAATTTTACAATCAAAGTGATCTTGAAAAAGACCAGGGCCTCCCTGTCACACCATTTATGGACAGGGCCAAAATATCTAAAAGTTCCTCTCAGTGCAATTTTATTGGAATTGTTTTACTCCCTTTGTTCGAAGCACTCGAAAAACTCTTCCCTGAGTTGAAGGTATTTATATAAGCATGATTATCTCTGTTTTTAAGGAAACCCAATTAACACATTTTCTACCTATCTCCATATTTCTCCAAGTGAATGATTTTGAGATACCTTTTAACAAAATTTTGACTGACAAAATTTTTTTTGACTCGTCCAGACTCATAACTTTTTTCTATGTAAATTTTACATGTCTTAAAGGACGATCAGCAATTTCAAAAACTGTTTTCCTGATTTATGTTTTTCAACAATTTTTAATGGTCCTTTGAAGTTCATATGCTATGGTGTCACCGCTTATACGGATTTTTTACTTACTCTTCAAAGTTTTAAAATTGAAGTATTATGAGCAAGGACAATCTTCTCCCTTTCTTTTTCCTCCCTCCCCTCAAAAAAAAAAATAAAAAAAAACTGAAGGTAATAAGTGTGTAAATGACCGGCGTTTTGACCTGTTTTTTTATTTTATAGGATATGATTGTGAACCCGGTGAAAGAGGCACTGGCTTTCTACCAAGAGTGCCTCCGAAATGAACAGCGAACAAAACGAACGAGCGTCATAAGTGCTCCTCACTCCACGGCTAGCTCAGGTCCAAACTCTCCTATCAAAATTACTCCTTTTGTACCAACGAACAACACCTTACATAAATCTCAGGTACCAAAGACTTTTAAATGCATTACATTTATTATTATATATATGCATTAGCAATAAAAAGTTCCACAAATAGTTATCAGAAATCAACTAAAATCTCAAAAACTAAGTGAAAAAATGGCATAACACAAATTACAAAAGAATTTCGGTGCTTGCCAAATTTTGTAATTGTTTTATGTGATCATATAAAAAATAATCAGCTTGTACTCTCACAAAATCGTATCAAAAAGAATATCGATATTGTTTCACCACTTCCTGAGCTTAACCTTTCAAATTTTTACGTGCAATTTCTTCAAAATCTCAGATAGAAAAGAAGATGAATACTCTTTCACGCGCATTTTTATACGGAGATTCAACATTGCCGTTAAATTGGATCCATCGATAGAAAGAACCTGTATTTCCATGGCCGGATTTAAATAATTGCGACTTTTCACCGGGGAGGGGGAGGGTGTCAAACCGTTCGTAAATTACGTACCCTACCCATTTTTACATGCAGATTTTCAGACTCTTTCATCGCCTGTATGTGTTATCGGTGTATCTGAGTCATCATCTCGCACTTAATTCTTCTGAATTGAGTCGCCATGTTGTCAGGCCGCCGAAAGAGTGACACATTGTTTGCGTGGAAGCCCTAACTTCGTTTTTCTCTTAGTATATTTTCCCTCCTTAAGCTGCGTCCTCGACGGTCTATGTATGAATCCGGCTATGATTAACAGTCTGTGGTTGATCTTTTTCGAAAGTACGAATTTTCATGAAACCCCGATCGCGAGCTTGAAGAAAAACACGAGAAGGCGATAAATATATAGTAATAATGTAATGATTTTTTGCTTATGGTATGGCATATCTCTTATCAACTAACCAAGGATTGAATGCATTCGTTTTCATTTGTTATCCTCTAGCAATCGGAAGAGGGATCATCATCTCGTGCTAGTAGTCAAGATTCTATAGGTTATGAGCAAGATGACAACTGCAACATAAGTAGGAGTGAGGATGATGCAGCTGTCAATGAAGTCACGGTTTCTGAGCAAACATCAACTTTTAAAATTGCGACGGATAATCCTTGGTAAGTACCCTCTCAGCTTTAAAAAAAATTGACATTTGTAAACGCCCATGCCGCCGCGCCGTGCCGAGAAAGAATGCCTTCTAACGCGGCTACATCTTCTCGATGAAGTACGAATTTTTTAGGAAAACTTGTGAATAATCTTCTACTTATTCGTCAAAGAATTTTATCTGTAATTTGATCTAAAGCGTCTAACAATTTCAAGGAATATTGTTCTCAGCTTTCCTCACGGCGTTCTTCCCATATTAATACGGCAGCGGGGGAAAAGGGACCTCGGCAAATCGAGGGAAATTTTTCAGAGGAGCACGAAAAACTTGCCATGGTGCTCTGCCAGTAGATGATTCACACGAAAAAACAAAAAAAAAATTAATAAAAGTATACTTAACAATATTTTAATTGTTGTGTGTTGCTCAATAATTGGATAATTGCTCACCAGATGACGTGCTGGCTCGCTGACCATCGATACCGCATCCACGTGTCTAATGCCGGTTTGGTTTTAAAGACCTTTCCGTAAATGTATCAGGAATCCAAAAAACTGTGCTGCGATGTACTGGTGATAGGTTCAGCATCATTCACACCGTGTCTTCAGCTTACCCTCTGAGTGTACGCAGCTAGTGTTGCGCTAAAGTGCACTACTGCAAGAGGGTAATTGTACCTCAATTAAATGAGAATTTTCCCCCATACTGAGAACATTCTGCGTAATGCTGAATTGCAGAGTCGTGACGTCACCTTGGCTATGATCGTATGATCGCGAACCTATGTCAATGTCAGTGTATTTCTTAAAATTAGTGTTGGGAATAAATATATAACATAGACATTCTTTTCAGTTCAGGGAAAAAGAGCCAACCAGGAAGTCGGAAAGGTAGCAGGGAAAAAGCTCACTTGTCTGGTGATTCGGACTTGGCCCATTTTTACACCGGATCCGTACACAGCAGTGACAGTGGGGAAAAAAAGAGTTGGTCTTCTAGTGAACAATACAGTATTGACGAAAATCGGTATGTTCTTTTCCTCCTCATCTTAAGATTGTCAATGTACATCAGTCTCTAAATTAATTGTGTGCATATGTCACATATGAACGTATTTCTGCCAAACGGAACTATGTGCATTATAGCGTGAACCCTGTTATGCATATATTCTTATGGGTCTCAGGGCTCATTGCTCAATGCACATATGTCCATATATTGTTATTATCTTGAGTAGGTCAAATAGAAATACTTGCACTTTCATGGTAATAATATAAATTTTCATAGCAACTGCCACAGTAGTGAATCACTGAGCGCCATTGAGTGGATCGAGTCATTAAGAGAGGTCGGACGAAATTTGGAAACTTTGAACGCTTATAAATCCGTTTATAGAAAACTTTGAGGTTCTGAAAGTGGGTCCATTCGTTTCCCCGTGAAATTATTTTCTAGAAGCATCCCTTGAAATTTAAAATGTGACGGAATGAACATAAAAATTTGCAGTTTTGATCAAAAATTTTATGTCCGACCTCTCTAATTGACTCGATCCACTGTGCGTCAGTGCAAAGAAACAGAGAATCAATATTTTAGGGCAAATCGCGTTTTTCGCCAATCGAAGTTACAGGCAAAGCACAAATGAGTACCGTTAAATATCTGAAATTTTGTCCACGGACAAAATTCATTTCGTAATTTTACGTGACTAGCACAGTTTTTCTCCGCAGAAGTATTTACTATTCCTTTTTATGGGGCAATTTTGCCACTTAAAAAGCTGTTCCAACTTAGTAGATGGTATGGTGTCCAACTGTCCATATAGAACAACGTAAAGTATCAACTCTAATACCTAAAACAAGCGTCTTCTCTTGAAAATGTGCGAAAATCGTCTATTAACATCTATCAATTGCTCTGTAGGGAGAGAAAACTTCTTTCTCCGGAGAGAAAACTGGGAAATTACTGCTGAGACTTTAACGCAGCCGCATAAAAGTAGGCACGCACCGACAAACACGAGTTGCATAGTATGGAGACATTATTATTCAAAAATTTGCTCATACTGAACCATACGAGGGATCGCCGAAACGGCAAAAGGCCTGAAATCACTTCAGAGACTTTAACGCAGCTGCAGAAAAGTAGGCGTGCCAACGAACTCGAGTTTCTCGACGCATGGAGACCTTATTATTTAAAAATGTGTTCATTCTGAACCACTTCTGAGATTTTTAGATAATTAGCGGCACACATAATTTTTCTTAACCTGTAGCTTCGAAAGGCGCAAAACAGGATTTTCAATGAGTTCGACGCACTTTGCAATGAGTACTGCTCCAAATGCGGCAGCGTTGCGAAGAGAAACGGGTTTGTAAATCATTTTGTGGAAAACTTTGCTGAACATAAAATTTCGCAAAGAGTTGTGTCCGTTAAAAAATGTTCAGATATTCAACGGTATGCATTTGTGCTTTGCCTGTAATTCCAACTGGCGAAAAATGCGATTTGCAATGAGTACGACGGATCTAAGTTGCAAATGTGGATACATTGGAGTTTAAAATAGAGTGTTCGGAAAATTCCGTGAGAAAAACGGTGCTTTACCACATGAAATTAAGCTAAAAGTTGTGCATTTTAACACATTCTCCGATTGTTAGCCGCACGCGTTCATAGGTATCTTACAAGACCTGCCTAATCGCCTTAAAACACGAGTTCAGCTCAAATCAATAATCGAATTTTAGAACCTCGGGCAATCAAATTAACCGTCGAGCTTCTTTCATGGGTCAAAAACACATCGTGAAGAATGTGTTGAACACCAACCCTTTTTTTTAGTAACCAAAAGTGGTTCAGAGGATCAGTGTTTTCCGAGAGGTCCCAATTTTCAGGAAATTTAATTCTCTAATATCCTAATTAATTCCGGAACCAAAAGTGCTCAATTTGAGCTAAATTTTTAGGGGAAGCCTCCTTTTGTGTTGAATTAAAGTATGTTCACGAGCCATACGCAAATATTCCATTCATGAATATTACAAGGTAAAATCAACGAAAAATGGTGAATTAGGAGTAGACACATCACATGATAGAGATTTTTCGGTCTTGAAATTTCGATAGTTTTGGCCGCCATCTTGGATTGCACGATTAGCTTGAACGTGGTCGTACGACCACCCTAAATGTATAGTTGCGCGATTTACATGCGGCTGTTTCTACGCTTGTAGGTACAGAGGCAGTCGTCCTTTTTATCAACTATGACTCAATGCCCCTACGAAAAACTTCTAAAAACTCTTAAAACGGGGTTCTCGCTGTTTTTGTCCGAGAAATTTCAAGTCTCTATGTCTAGTCTAGTGATTAAAAAACATTAAAATAGGTCACGGTCTTATTTCTCATATTTTATTGTTCCAGCCTTCGACACGATACCAGGAAAAAATCAGTTTCTAGTCCAGAGGAAAGGAAAGAGACACGAAGTTATTCGTACGTAGAGCAACCAAAATCAAGGAAAGATATTTTCCATGACAGTGGCAATAGCTTTAAAAAACGATCTGCTTCAGCATGCAGTTCGGATGAATTGAAGGACTCTGACAGCCGAGTCTCCTTTGCAAACTTTAACTACCCATACAGAAAAAAGAGTATAACACCTTGCAAGAGTCCAGAGCTTAAGGAAGAGGAAGAAGAAGGAAAACCTGCCTCTGGAAATGTCGAAAGCTGTAGCTATTCTTTTGCTGCCAAAAAATTGGAGTCTAACAACACAAGTAAATCAGTTGATGAACCTAATAGTAAGAATTATTCACTGCATCGGGTTGAGGGGTCAAACCCAGTTCCTAGTGATACTCAAATACTAACTTCTGTGCGCCCCACCATGACTGAAGATGCCTCGAGTCTCAAAGATATTGATTGCGAGGCAGACAAAACACAACCCACAGCTGTTCCGCTGGCGGAACAAGCTGAAATTTCCGGCTCGTCCTGTTGTCAAGAAAAGAACTCCGAAACTCTAGTCCAATGTGTTAATAGTGTTAAAAATGTAGACCAAGCTAGCACGGTGCAAAGTATCGACATCGCCGTGAAAGAAACGTTTGACGGGAAACCAAAAGTCCCGTCTCCTCAGTCAACGGTTATGAAAAGATTGAAGAAGAGCTTTGGAGATCCATTTCGGCTGTCGCGACGGAGCACTAGTAGCGATTCCAGTTCGTCGAAATTGACTGTTGCTGAAACATCATCTCAGCCTGCATCACCTGCATCGCTGAAAACTCAAAAAACAGAAGAAGTGGAGGAAGAGCAAAAAGCAATGACATTACCGAAAGTTTTAAAGAAGCGTAAATCGCGAAAGTGGAGGGTGCTAAAAATGAAGTCAGACACAGGAAGTTCGTCTACCGAGAGATTAAACAAAGATTTTAGTCGACGAAAATCTTCTGACGGTGAGGCGAGAGGCATCTCCGGAAATAATAAAATCGAAAATGGGATGACTCCACCAGATGAGGATTCAACAAGTGAGTAGCTGTACATTTGATTTATCATTTAATTAGCCTATGCATTTTCTAGGTAGTTCCATTGCTTATTTAACATGAAAATTATTTCAAAAGCTTCCAGCCTCTGAAAAACAGAGATGCAGAGTTTTTGAAGTTAGCAGAAGGTAGACAACTTTGGTGACACCGCGGAAGAAAGATAGACCCAGGTCGAACTTCCTTATCTCTCACATGAAATTAGTGTCAATACTTCTGATGGAAAACCGAAAACAGCCCCATCATTCAATACATTAAAAAAATTCTAATTTTTGAAATTATGAAGGTAGGAAAAACCTCCTCACTAAAAAGTCTCATAAAGATCTATGAAAATTGCATAGGGACCCAGGAGTGCTCATGGGTATCTGTGGAGAAATCCCAGGTGCTTATTGGATCGAAATTGAGGGGAGCCCAAGGGTTGCCTCGGGTGGCCTGTAGGAAAGCCAATAATGCTTAAGAGGGGTACCTAAGTGTTTACCATTTGACAGCAGATGTGACTAGTAGGAAATTCAGAGGCAGGTATGAGGATGCATAAGAGGGGTAGATGGATGTACCTCATGAAACTTTTTTGCAGTTTTAGGTAAATTGACCATAAATCTTATTAGGTATGGCAATCTCCCGAAATTTTTGGCAAGCTTCCTATCATTCTTCCAGTTTTCCAGCTAAAGTCAGCAATATTTGGAACCTTCTTACTTTTTTAGAAACTCTGTTTTTGCTAGCTTTTTGGAAGCTCTCAAATTTTACAGGACAAAATTTTCCAATTTTTGGCAAATTTTTCGAGGAAAATCCTTATTTTTAATTTTTTGGCAAGTTTCAGAGCTAGTAAGCTTCTGAACTTTTAAAAAGTGTCTGGGTTTATCAATGACTTGTTTTGATATTTTCTTGGATTTTTCTGGCATAAACATTCGTGGATCTAATCGTTTTCATGTAATGTTAAAATATTAAAAAAAATACGGTCCAATTATTATCAATATATGATAGGTATTAGCGCTTGCTAGAACGTTCCTATAGCAACGCACACGCAGTGTGACGACCGAAATGGAATCCCATTTCGGTCCTCATCCCGTCGCATTTCTATTCTCTGCCAATCCTATTGTTCCTTTATTGATCTTTTTTATCTCCCTCTAAAATCTCATTCATCCCGTGGTATTTTCTTCCGTCTTACAATTCCACGCATTCCTTCCACATCTCCCAACTTTCTTTGAAATCTTATCTTCTCCGTGTGGTTTTTCTCTCTCAGCGAGTCCGCGTTTGCCCCGCGTACGCTGTTCAAATGTCGCGTCACTCATCACCTCGCCAGCAAACTCCGAAAGCTGTGAACTGGTCTTAAAAGCCATTCCTTGTTTTATATTTTCAGTGTCGCTCTGCACCGCACAATGGAACAAGTCAATGGGAGATGTCTGACAAAATGTGGAAACTTTAAAAGCTTACAACTCCGGTTTTTTTTCGACCTTTTCTGCCGTCCCTCCTCTTCGTACAGGAATTAGGGATCATAACTCCGTTATTAGATAATTTTGAGGTTTTGAAAGTGGTTCGATTGGTTTTCTCGTAAAATTGACTGTTGAAAGCACCCCTCATACTTTAGAGTTTGACGAAATTAACAACTACATTTGCAGTATTAGAAAACAAATTCATAGGAAAAGTATATTTCAATTGTTATCCCTTAACCCGGTACATCATGTCAGAGGTGGTGCAGAGGACTAAAACCTTATGTAAGCCGTGACTACGTGAGTTTTTCCATATTCGACGCCGGTTTTTTGCCATTAGGTACGGTTGAAGAAGATTATTTTTGCGACCTTCCCTACGTACCCGATGGGTTAGGTGCTGAATAGTCTCTGAAATATGACGTAGACATCGAGAATAATGAACACTGTCACAAGACAGGATCTTTGACAAATGATCGTTAAAGATTCCTTAAATTTCGACTCAAGAACTCCAAGTTTTATCTTAACATTCACCTGCTCTTTTGTTGTTTTTTTTTTTACAGCTGAAGCAGCGAACAACAACAAAGTAAAATCAAACTGTGCGAATATTGGTCGGCAAAAGAAATCTTCCTCCGACGCAAAGTATCCTCGTTGGATGTCAACGTTGAAGGCATCGTTTAATTTTAAAAAGTCAAGTAATTCTTAAATAGGTACACTTACTTTAAGCCCTACCTACTTTTGTTGCTCCTCTCGTTATTTCTTCTCTCCAAAGACCAATCATCCAGGGATAAACTAATTCTAGTTGTACCCACTTGTTTATATCCATTTTAACCATGATTTGAATAAGTTGTACCTATGTCTCAAGTAGGTAATGTGCAATAAGTATAGATAACTCGATGTGAAAGTAGCTGTATAAATAGCGATTCTTGGACATCGGTAACATTGTTTTTCCTCTTCAATTCATCAGAATATCGGTTTCTGGTGGGTCAGCTTCCTTCAATGACACATATCAATGGAACATATTTGGATCGAGCGGAACTATTTCCTCTATAACATTATCTCAGTCATGCATGATATTCTATTGGATCTCGAGGTCCAGATCAAAATGGAGATAGCTCCTTTGGGTTCAAATACGTCTAACGGTGAAACTACTGAACCACGTTGTCTTTGAAAACTCTGGTTTTTCAGATGGAAGCATATATCTGTATGTACTCCTAATTTTGGATGATAAAAAAGGTACCAAAACTATTCTGTAAGATAGCAATGATGAGATACTCTTCAATGTTCTGCAAGAATTTGTGAAATTTGTAAGTATTCAACTGCTGAGAGTCATGAAAGAAAAGCTGAGCTAGTTTCAGTCTGCGAATTAGGAACGAAAACTTCATTTACAGATTCTTATGTGAATTTATACTCAATTTTCTGAGCTGGTTTTTAGAAAATTTTTATCAAATTAAGGCCCAACGAAAACTGTACAATTTAACGTCCCCAAAACTAAAAATTCAACTTGGTTTTTTTGGATCGAGCGTTCGTTTTTTTAGTTTTGCATAGTATCAGGCTAAGAAATGTAACACGGGTACCTCCTTTTATCACCCGTTTACTGTTTTTTGTATGTAAGAAAAATCATTTTAAAAAATTATTCCGGATGTCATATCAATTATTATGGTCCACCAGTAAGAGAAAAGTGGTCAAATGAGCGGTCTTTTTTTGCATTGTCAGATCTTATTAAAAGACGGATCAAAGAAAAATAGCTCAAACTGTTGTTTTTTTTTCGTCTTAAAATAGCAATTGTTTCTAAGTTTTGCAAATTTTTCAGATTCATTCTTAGAAAGACATTTCATGCGCATTTTTTTTTAAGTCAAGGATAATTTATCTATCTTATGATTTTTTCTTGAATATCTGAACGCACACGTCTCCACAAAACCTCAAAGATTGTTTAAAAAATTATGAAGTTTAAAAATTAGGAGTTGTCTCATAAATATAAAAAACAAAATCGTGACTGTCTCGATTTTTCCGAGCCGCTCGTGACGTTATTTACTTATATATTTAAAATTTACGGTCATTCTATCATAGTCAATTTACTTTCTGCCTCCTGCCCTCCTCAAAACCCCCCTCCCCCATTTCTTAGAGTTGTAATTTCATTTTTCATCGGTCATCGGGAAAGGAAACCAAACATATTTTTGTAGATGCAGTGATACTTACTGACGTAAAATTTGAATAAAACCATAAAATGCATTTAAGATATCCATTTTATCTATGTTTTCAAATGCGCGCGAAATTTACAGCGTCAAGTGAATACTCACTGGAAATATGCAGCATTTTCGGTTACATTTATACTTAAATACTCCGCCCTGAATATACTCTCTCTTTGCGCACCAAAGTTGTAGCGTCAAGTTAATATTTATCGGAAACTTGCCGCATTTCCGGTTACATCAGTTGATCGCCGCGGAAACGCTCACTCTTTTAGCGGGGAAGTTAAAACATGAAGTGAATATCTACCGGAAATATGCAGCGTTTCCGGTGGCATCAGATGATCGCCGAAAACGGCAAACACTCATTGAGCGCGAAAGTTAATATTCACCGGAAATATGCAGCATTTCCGGTTACATGAGATGATCACCGGAAACACCTTCTGATTGTGCGCACAAGCATTGAGCGCCAAGTGAATGTTCATTGGAAATATTCACTTGACGCTGTAACTTTCGTGCGCAATACGAGTGTTCCCGGTGATCAGCTTATGCAATCAGAAATCAGTGGCGCGGAGTGAATGATCGATCATCAATATTTCTCCATTTGAAGCTATTGCTGTAATCACACGCTGAATGTGGCTTGAATGTGGAAGTCATCGGCCCGATGCCTGAATTTTGCGCGTGACGCGCATCATTCAGCAACGATTCTCAGCAACCATCGGACTACTGTTGAATTTTTCTGATTGTGAGCTATTCGAATAGATTTGACACATATCTGGATGAAAATAACTCGAATTTGCGAAATTTCAGCCGTTGGGCGATGACTGTTGATTTCCACATTTAGCTGCTAAATTCAGCGTGTGATTGCGGCATCTGTTAAAGAATCGCTTATAAAGTGGGACCACTACAAGGAAACAGAACTTTTTGTTTTCATTAACCTCCCGATTATTTGAAGAAAATCTTAGGATCGGCATCTCTGACCGCTGATGTATGCTGCCAACTTTAAACCAACGAAAAATAATACACGCGGTTTAGTAGTTTCAAAGGTATTCGATATCAACTGTTCTCCTTACATGTGTGATAATGGGGAAATGCAGTGTTATTAACTTGAAAGAGTATATCGACGGTGAAATTACCAAACCACGTATCTCGTTTGCGGTGTTTAAAAATCTACGCTCACATTTTATTTTTTTGAAGTAGACCAAATCAATATCATTCCTTGAAATTTTCTCGGAATTTTCTCCGCACAAAGAGGAAAAATCACAGAAATTTTCAAGACTGGATGTTAAGTAGTTTTTCATTTAAAAAATAAAGTATGACAGGAAGTCTGCGACGTCGCAAACCGAGATACGTGGTTTGGTAGTTTCACCGTCGATATGCTGTTCCCTTCGTCAAAAACCTTACAGGGCAAATAAGTATGGAGTTTTTAGGGTCAAAGTTAAAGAGGTCGATTCCATGGTTCCTTAAATTGTAATTAACTGGATGCTAGATGCGGAAGAAAGAATCAGTTTCTGAGCTTAAATGTTCTGGTCTGGGACCATTGTTAACCATATGGAAGGGAAACTTTTAAAAGGGTCACGACCTCCGAACTTCCAGTGGGAAATACATCCAATTAAAGTATAAACTATTTCAGACCCCCTTCCCTTCTTGTGACTTATCATTTGAAAAGAGCACAAAAGTAGGCAATTTTTCGGACCATTTGCAAGTCTCTATTTTTAATCTTTTCGAAATGACGATTGGCAGAGAACTGGCATCCCTGCTACTCCTCGAATGCACAAACGTAATAAGAATAATTACTGAAGTCAACTCTTACTCAATACATTAAAGCCTTTATCACAATTTCCCGCTCACAAGAAATACTTGAGTATACATGAATCAAGTTGCGCTCCTTAACGATTTTGGCAAGTTTTTTACTGAGCAGTGTTACTTTTCTGCTTTGTGTTGTTCAAAGTGTAGGTGAACAATACGTGACAGCTGAGCCGAAGCTCTACCGGAGAGACCGTTAAGTTAAGTATATGTTGAGGTAGCTTAATCGCCTTAAAAATCAACAGTGGAAGGTACATCATAAAAATTGTCATTTGTAGGTAAGTATTGTTATTTGGAAGAGGGTTGCATAGTTTGAAAAGCTAATGCCAAATTAGTTCTGTTCCAGCCTAAATAATCCTTAGAAATTAAATAATATACATATCCATCAACCATACATACACGTACAGCAAAGGTGCTAATTTTCTATTATTTTAAGCGCAATTTTGAAACCAGCTAGCGACTTGCAATCAGTCGGGGAAAAGCATACCTAAGTTGTCTTATTGTGTGCTCGTTCAAATGATGTGTCACAAATAGAGGATCTCGACCATTTTAAAAAGTTGATATTTTTGAGGGTGTATTCTGTGCCCTCCTTCCCGAGATCCGAAAAGAGCCGAAGGGTCATAACGCTCTTACCGATGGACCGGATGACCGGAATAACAATTATCCTAAAGATGGTCCAGACCGGAACAGTTCAACTCAAAAATTGAGGAAGTTATGACAGACATACAGATCGTTTATTTTGCCTAATCCGTAGTACATATCCTCACAGAGCCAGAGCCCATAATCGGAATTATCTACGTGAGGAGTTATAGCATTCTGTATAAAGGATGCAATTTTTGTCCGGTTTTTTTTTCTTTTAATGGAGCCTGGCCGATACTTGTATAGTAACAAAAAAGGAACACTATAAACGTGGCCCAAACCGTAAGGAACAGGGTGGTAATACTATTTTGTGTAACAAATTTTCACTCTCAAAAAAGTGGACATTTTTTACTCTATAGTTTAAGAAGGAGCAACCATCCCTCCCACTGAGCTACAGCCATGAACCGCATACTGTAAAAAGACTTTTGATTCAACTTTGACTTCATTTTTCTTACTCCCTCTTTTCTCTTTAATATCCAACACTCACACAACGGTTACCTCATTCTTCAAATCTATATTTTAATTTTTTTTAGATATTTTTTTACTATAAAATGTCCATCAAAATTTTGGACATGCTTGTTTTTGTACTGTCCTGGCACACCGGAGTTACTCTGTATCTCCTTGTAAATTCTTCCCAAAATAAATGTATATTATTATATGATGATCCTCCTATATTTCTCCATTGTTGGTTCGATTTATCTACAAGTAGTTAAGTATTGAATTGTTTTCAAAATGGGAACATGATCTTCAGTAAGTAGTCCCTGTTGTAGAGAGTACTACCTCTATCCTTATAAAAATTATTTGTATATTTCTTGATCACCTATGTTTGTACGTAATACATTTAGGTAGATATAAACGATTAAAATTCTTGTTTTTAATTTGTTTGTTTGATTCTCTTATCTCTAATCAAAAGTTGAGGAAGAGAGAAAGAAATGAAGTTGGCGAAGAAACAAGCATTACAGTTATTATCGCATGCGACGAGCATTGAAGTGGTGAGTGCGGTGAGTGCCCGCAGAGTGATAAACGCCTTAATTTCCGTGCTTATGCAACACACACACCCGTGGAGCTCAAATAGTTGCATCCAGGCGGTTGTACTGGAGTTGGCTTGGCGTTCCTTGCTTTGCTTGTTTCTCTCACACCTCCACTCGATTCCAGCATCGCTCATTCGCGCCGATGATATGATGTAAACTATTACCATGGACCTAAGACCGGGGAGGGGGGGGGGGTTAGGGACTTAAAATGTAGAATTGAAGATATTATCAATGCCCCCCCCCAGAATGAAATTCTGAATGATGGGAAAAACCTTCGTCGAAGACGATCATCACTTTTAATGTAGTCTTAAATGAAAACGCCGTGTTCAGTCAGTTAGTATTTTCTAAAATATTCGGTAAGGAAGCTTCAAAGTGCGTTAAGATAGATTTAAAATTTCGGAAATTTTCCGGATCTATTGAACGCAACAATTCTAAAGTATTTTTTGCTATCGGTGCGTATCGGCGACTGATTGTCTCAAGTTTTGGTGCGTGGCGCCATGAGCTATATATGGTCAAATGGACAGACCACAAAATTTTAAGTTTCGATATCAATTTTTTCAAGAGTTACAGGGATGATGCCAGTTGCTAAGACTGTAGGCGTGGGACGTTTGAATCACCCTGCGGGGCGATAATTGAAACTATATTTCAGCACGATAAAACAAGACATAACCCTATCTTAACCATGCAATATATCACATGCCGATGTCTTATCGCGCTGCTTTAAACTTGTAATAAAGGGAGCAGTAGTCGAAAAACTTACTAAGTATAGTATCTGTATTCAATAACGTTTAGCGTAATTTTTGAACTCCGTTAGAGGAAAAGGTGACTTGATTCAAGCAGAAATATGCTCAAATTTACCGCCGAGAATATTTCCCTACGAATCAATAAAGAAAATAATGCTTATTTAAAGAGGAAAATATGCTTACATAATAAGAAAAGTCACTTACATCAAGCAGAAACCCGCTTTCATTCGCGAGTTTTCGGATTACCGCTCTCTTTTTGTGCCATAGTATCTTGATTTATTTTGCGAGGAAAGCTCCGTACTCTTAAAGGATGCCTGTCATTTTTAAAACGTTGGGGCGCCTTCAATTTCGTATAATACAGCGTTGTGAAACACCTCTGTTGTGAAACAGTTGCTTGATGCGCCGCGCCCACACTGTGGTATTTGACCGAAAAACCTGGCCAAAACCTCAATTTTAAATTTTTTTTTTATCGGAAAACCAATATGATATTCGAAATCTACACTGTTTTTTACCCTGGTAGACATGTATGTACCATTTTTCGAGTGGCTCAATTTCCCGCGAAGAGACCACAAAGTTACCTAATTCTCAGCGATTATTTTGATATGTTTTGGCGCGCTACTCGTCGATCAGTTTACTTCAACTGTGCGGCCATAAAAGGGAACTTCGGCGATATGCAACACATTCTTAGGGGTATATTCTGCACAACTAACCACAGTATTTTCGAAATTTCCTTTTTTGGTGATTTTCACAGGAGGTTGAAAAGTGACGTAAAAGTAAACGTTTTTTTCGAAATTCAAGGTCCGATTTCTTTTTGCGCTCAACTGCGCTCAAGCAGT